ATATAAATTTACAAAAGTAAAAAGGGACCTACTTGATACCCAAGAAGAGGGCTACTCTGAGGTTATGATTAGCAAAGGACACAACACATTTTTGGAACCCAGTAATTAATAATAGGGGCATTTAAATTTTTTGTTTTATTTCAGTTTTGGAGGGTTTAATTATTTGTCCTTGGCTGTCCTGGAACTCATACTGTAGACCAGGCTGGCCCCAAACTCAGAGATCTGTGTGCCTGCCTCTGCCTCCTTAAGTGCTGAGATTAAAAGTGTACGCCAGCACCCCTGAGCAATGGGGACATTTTTATAAGCAAGCCTTGGATGTAACAACTGAGGACACAGAACTGTCTAGTTTTTCTATAATGCCTGTGCTAGAAACTGAGAATTAAGAATGAAAACATCTTTGTCTTTGTTTTTTAGGAGAGTATATGCTTCTGCTTTGCCACCAGTATTTTCTATGGTCTTTTTAAATTTTAGTTTGTTATACCATTTCTATTTTTAAAATTTTACTCAGTTTGGGTATAAGGGCTAGATTAAAAACACATTTTCTAGTAAAATTTGAATGCTACTTTTGGATTTTGGATTTGAGGTGTGTTAAGACTTGCAGATACTAGTTTAAGCTGTTTTTCTGTCTAAAGAGCAGAAAATAAAATCAAGTAAATAATGAACCCTAATAGCTGTTGTTGCTATGTCCTTGTGTCATCTTATCTTTCTAGACTTCTAGTTCCTCTTGTATTATATATATATATATTAGTACTAGTGGATACTTGGCCATTTTCTATTTTACTTACATGTTCAACAGAAATTTAAGTTCATTATAGTATAACTTTTTTCTTTTGCTTTATGGCATTATAAAGTGTTCAGCATCCTTAGTCATCAAGGGAATGTAAATCAAAATTACTTTAAGATTTTTATCTTACACCCATCATAATGGCCAAAAGTTAAAAAAAAAAAAAGACATCGCATGCTGGTGAGAATGCAGAGTAAGGGGAGCACTCATTCATTGCTGGTGGGAGTGCAAGTGTGTACGGTCACCATGGAAGTCAGTATGGTGGTTCCTCAAGAAGCTAGGAATTGATCTATCTCAAGATCTAGCTATACCACTTTTGGGCATATACCCCAAAGATATCTCTAACTTGCTCAACCATATTCATTTATGTTCTATTCATAATAATCAGAACTTGGAAACAACCTAGATATTTGTCAGTGGATGAATGGGTAGAGAAAATATTTATTTACATAATGGAATATTATTCAGTTTTTAAAAATGATATCATGAAATTCACGGACAAATGAATGGAGCTAGAAAAACTCATTCTGAGTGAGGTAACTCAGACTCAGAAACACAAATATGGTATGTATTCACTTACATGTGGATGTTAGCTGTTAAGTCTTCAAACACAAACTATAATCCATAGAACCAAAAAGGTTAGGTAATAGAGTAAGGGATTATCAGGGAGGAATGAATTTCCCTACAAAGAGAAATTAGCATAGTTACTTATGGGTGGATATAGTGCGGCCTGAAATTGGAGAATCAAACAGGAAGGGAGGGGTAAGAGGGGGCGAAACAGGGAGGGCTAGATAAAACTAAAGGCATCAGGGAGCTTTTATGAAAACCTTCTTCTGATATATAGTAGATGCTTCCTGAGATATACTCATATACGAAGGTGATCTAAACTAAAGGGCTAAATAGCAGTGAAGATAGAATGCCAACTGGACAGCTCTCATCACCCCAAGTGAAGCTCCCAGGACCAGGAATGGGATATTACCTAGTTGAGTTGTTGGCTAAAGGGGCCCCAAACAACCTAGGCTATTGACAAGGCAGTTGGTTGCTCTCCAGTAACTGATGATAGGACCCTATTGTTGAAGACAATATTTTTTTTTTTTAATTTAAGCTACTCATTGGGTCATTTGAGCACTTTGCCAATTACCTGTTTGCTATTCTTATGTCTTCTTTTGTGAAGTCTGTATTCACTCTTGTCTTCACTGGAGGGTGTTACTGGCTTCATTTGTTATATAGAAATATAAATGTATTCTGGGTATCTTTTGTCTGATATCTTTTTGTAGCTAGACTCTTGCTTCTGCTATGCAATAGTAACAACTAAAGGATGTGCATAAAGATAATGATATATGTTAATATTTCTAAACTTGCAATTTTTGAAGGAAGGTGAGTAGTATTTACAATGTATGTTTCATAATTTTAAATTTAAAATGAAAATTACATTTCATTACTTTGCATTTGGTTTCAGGTGCAGTTAAAAACTAGCATTTGTAGTCAGTATGTAATTCGGATGCAACCAACTAGCAGGTGCCTTTCTACCTTAGAATGTGCTGCTGGTGCTCTTTCCATCTTAGAGAAAAATAAGTACATACAAGAGGTATGTGGAAGTCATAGTTTTTTTTTTTTTAAAGTCGGGTTGGATTTTATTGAGAAAATGTAGACATGTATAACTTGTTAATTGTGTAAGAAGTGACAAGTGGAGTATATCTGCAGTAGGTATTTATGGAGTTTCATAATCGTCCTTCTCTCTGGTATTTTACTGTGTTGGTTTAGCATTCCGTTTTGCATTATTTAAATATTCCCACTAAGCTGTGCAAACAGCATTTTTAATATGCTAAATTGCATGTAAGTAGCACAGCACTCAATAGAGTTTTTTGGCTAGATTTTTCCTTTAGTGTTCTCTACTTCTTTTTTAAGTAGTTTGTATTCTCTGGTGATCCAGTTTTTTTTTTTTTTTTAATTAAAAGAACATTCTTCACCAACATTACTTGTTTGAATTGGTGCCTTTATTTGAGGAGGTATGCTAACATTCTGTTTACTTTATTAAACTTGCTTAGAGTGCAAAATAGGTACTTATGGATAGAAATGTCTATAGAATATGAAAAAGATTTAACCCACAATCATTATTTTATTTAACTCCCATAAAATTCTAATGATTACATATATAACTAATAATTATTAGCAGAGAAAGCATTTCAATGAGCTTAGTAATATCTCAACTTTTTGGGACAGTTTAGAAACTTTATAGCAAAAGAAAAGTATCATAAATAAATAACTTCAGATGGGTTATGAAAATAAATAACTTCAGATGGGTTATGAAAAGTAAGTGAACTATTACTTCTTTCTCAGAAAAAAATGCCAAAGGATGACAGTTGAAAAATAGAGTTGTTAGCTCCTCTATCAGACATGCCACCATGCAGGCACTCACATGCGTGCGTGCACAGACAGAGCCCTTTCTCGTGCCTCCACTTTCTCTCATTGTCCAGTATGGCTACTGTTACAAGACAGTACCTTAGCCATGAAGGAAATTTCAGCAGTGACTAAAACCTAGCAGAGTAACTGGAAGTTATAGAGACGTTAGTCTTGAAGAGAACAAAAATGATCTCCAGAGTTTGCAGAAGAGTTAAAAAGTGCTGGGAGCTAGGATTGAGTTCTTTGTTCCTCCCTGGGCCCTGAGCTGTGGACAGAGAGAGTTAGGGGCCTTCTTCTTTTGAGGGGCATCATGTTTCATGGCGATACACAGATTAATTGAAATGGGTAAAATTAATGTGTAAGAGTTAGCCAATAAGAAGCTAGAACTAATGTGCCAAGCAGTGATTTAATTAATACAGTTCTGTGTGGTTATTTCTGGGCTGAGCAGCGGGAACCAAATAAGTGGCCTTCATACAACAGAGGCTTCCTTTGGATGTGTGTGTAGACTGTTCCAACTAAAGAGTTTCACTCCCACATGCTGTCCTTGAGAAGAATACTTCCCAGCAATCCTAGATCTGTTCTTTGAATGACCAGGGTGTCCCAGACACCTTCCCTCTCTGTGTGGCTTTATGTCTATGTCTGCCACTTTCTTTCTTGATGAAACCAGAAACATTCATGAATGACAAAAAACTAATAGCTGATGTTGATTCCTGCTAGATTATATGTGATGGTTTGTGATATGTTCACTTAAAAATAAGAGGTCTAGCATGACCACACAAAACTTGGGTAATTTATGCTCTAAGTGTAATATCTGAGAATAAATAATGGCTAAAATATGGAGTTGTGATGGGAACCCACGTGTCCAGAGCTTTTGATATTCCTATGGATGGGGTGAAAATAAACGTTCGTAGTAACACTGAGGGCCTGGAATCCTTTTTCTGCTTACTTCAACCTTCAGGGATAATTAAATCACAGTGGCCATGAGTAGAGAAACAATGTCTGTCCATGATTTGGGTGATTCTAATATGCACGATGGGAGCATGAATGGGAGATGTGTGATGAAACATCTTAAAATGCTTCTTATAGAAAACAAATTTGCTTCCAGTTCATAGTGTATGTTGTTTTTATTGGAAGTGAACCCTAAAGCCAATCTATTAAAATTAGTTACAAAAAATAAATAGCACACTTCTTTGTGGAATACAGACAGTTACTGTCTTCTCTGGCAATGGGTGTATTATTTCTTCCCTGGAAGGAAGCTATAGAGTCTTTCTTCTAGGAAACCCTTTAAAACCTTAAGATCTTGGGAAACAGGAAATACTGTGGCTTCCTTCTAAAGACATCAGGTGCCTACAAATGCACAAATTTAATGTGACATTGATTTCCAGTCTTCTGGTTCAGCCCCATGCTAGGTGCTGGAGCAGCTTCCAAGCACAGGAAGTAGTGGATGTGAGGCTCTGAGAGTGTGGCTCCTGGAAGGAGCACAGTGCAGGCCTGAAGTCAGCTTGGGTTGCAGCTTTACCACCTGCTGTCAGTATGATTTGCCAGGGGCAGTTGCATAATCTCTCCTTGTACTTATTTTTCCTTTTAAACTTGTATAAATTGGGGATGTAGCTCAGTGAGAGAGTAGAGGTTTCCAAAATACTTGTCCTTTGTTTTTCTTACTGGTCTGTATCAACAGGGATTATGTGTGACAGCCTTTAAAAATAAAGGCAGTGGTTAAATCAACTTTTTTAAAAAAAGCAAAACCTCTTCTGTAAGTACAGCATGCTAAAGTGGACGGTCCTGAGTTATAAACGCAGCTCGGAAAGGACATTAGGAACCCGAATTTGGGGGCTGGGCAGATGCCTTCACAGTTAAGAGTACTGGACGCTCTCCAGAGGACCCAGCATTATCTCAGCACTCACAGGACAGCTCATAACTGTCTGGACCTTCAAGCCCAGGGGATCTAATGACATCTTTTTGCCCTTTGGGCACTGCATACTTGTTGTGCACAGACATACATGTAAGCAAAACACCCATACACATAAATAAACACAAAAAGCCCCCATTTTTTTCCCTGTCTGTCCATTAACCTCTGTGTTTGGCTTTAATTGTCACATTTATTGCCAACTGATCATGATGGTTTGTCCTACCTCTAATAACCATATTCTTGACAGGAAAAGAGCAAAAAAAATCTATGCTACCTAAATCTGTTGGCTTTGAGTGCCTCTAAAAGCCCATCCCAAGTGATTTTCATTAACCTGCCATTACTCAGTGCTTTATTAGTAGAAGGGCATAATACCTTCATGAATAAAATTGGGTTCTATTAATAAGATAAAATTATTGGGTAGGGAGAGGCAATTATCAGACTGCCAAAGTATTTAATACTTCATTGTAAAGTAAAGCCCCTTTATCTGTTTTTATATGTAAAAATATACCATGTATTTTGTATATGTGGGAGAACAAATTTTCACACAGACAGTTTGAAAATTTTTGATCAATTCCCCCCCCGCCCCAGACAGGTTTTCTCTGTGCAGTGCTGGCTGTCCTGGCACTCATTCTGTAGGCATGACTGGCCTTGAACTCAGGTCCTCCTGTTTCTGCTTCCCAAGTGCTTGGTTCAATTTTTTCCTTTTAAAAAATGATTCTTCTTTAGGGGCTGGAGAGATGGCTCAGAGGTTAAGAGCATTGCCTGCTCTTCCAAAGGCCCTGAGTTCAATTCCCAGCAACCACATGGTGGCTCACAACCATCTGTAATGGGGTCTGGTGCCCTCTTCTGGCCTGCAGGCATACATATAGACAGAATATTGTATACATAATAAATAAATATTAAAAAAAATGATTCTTTAATGGCCTTTTCAACCAAAACCATTGTTATTGTTATTTATATTATTTTTTTCTTTTTTTATTATTCTTATTATTACAAATTTTCCCCTCCTCCTCTCCTCCTATTTCCTTCCCCCTCCTCCAGTGCTTCCTCCCCCTCCCTCTCCAGTTCAAAGAGCAGTCAGGGTCTTACATACAAAGAATCTGATCCAAAAGTGTCTTCAAAATGCTATTTAATTTTGTTTAGTTTTTCATCTTGAATAACTTTATATAGCGCGTGTGTTCCAGCTTTGTATCAGCCTTCACCATCTCTGTTAACTTACGTGTAAATTCAGTTAACACATGAGTGTTTTATGCTTGGCCCTGCAAAAATTTTCGTTAGACAAGGTTTAAATTACAGTATTTCAAATGTACCACATGTGACTTTGTCGCATCTGTGTTTTCCATGTACTACTGTGAGGAAGACTTCGCTATCATCATGGAATTGTTTGTGCCAGTGAGGTACACTAATTGTGATTGGAATTCAACTAATGTGATGTATCTATTTATCTGTTTTCTTTAATCATCTTGTTAACTGATTAAATGATTGTAATGAGAAATTTTCATGTTACCTAAATAAATTACTGTATAAAACACAACTCAGCTTCCATTTCCTATATGGAAAATCATTATAAATCCTTTTATTAGAATCTGAATTAGAAATAATTACGAAGGTTAGAATAGTCATTACTCTTCATAGTTAAAAGCAATAATAAAAAGGACGTCTAAATGTCTGCATTGGAAAGAAAAGTATAGATAGAATACATGATGCCACAAATATGTTTTTAGTATCTTTTTTTTTCTTAACAGATTTTGCTTCGCCCTCTTCAAGCGCTATGTTCTTTCCAACTTCAGCATGGTGCTCAGATTCGCCTCAGCAAGGAATACCTTCTGAAAAACGGATTATACCCCAAGCCAATGCCAAAGAACAAACGCAAGCTCAGGAAGATGGAACTGTTAATGAACAGTGTTAAAATTTAGCACCACTGGCTCCATGGTGCTCATTCACCTGTCTTTAGCTGACAAGACTATGTAAACTTTCCCCCGCTTTGGGCTTGAAGGCTTTGACTCTGAAGACTCAGTGCTGGCCGGCAATTGTGCGGAAAGAGATGGGCTACTAAACAGCATCCTACAGCACACTTCCACCCACTCTGGGAAAAGCAGACTTTCACAGTGTATTTGTCATTTGTTTCATTTTGGTTTTTGTTTTCTTTTGAGACAAGGTTTCTCTGTATAGCCTGTAGACCAGGCTGGGCTCGAACTCAGAGATCCACCTTCCTCTGCCTCCTGAGTTCTGGGCTTAAAGGTGTGAGCTACCATTGTCCAGATACTATAGTTGTTTTGAAATATGTGCTTCTACTACATTTTTTCTTAGATCTATTCAAAATACAGTTAGTTGTTGGTCTAGAGTAAAGAGTTGTCTATATAATGAAAACTGTGCCTGGGAACAGTGTTGTTTCCATCAGTGTTGCCGATACCTAGGTATTTATAGATCAATGATGGATATACCCTGCATTGGTTTCAGCCTTACTGTGAAATAAATGGCAAAAAAGGGTTACTTGTTTTATTAAATAGTATAAAGGAACAGGGAAACTTTTCTGTTTAGGGTTGAACTTGGACTCAGTGAATGTAATTTACACCTTCTGTAATTATCTGGATTCCTGTGGAGTGCATTTAATTTTGAAATAGCTTGCATTCTCATTGGAGTTGCATTGCCTAAGTTTTAGTTTTTCAGTGTTCATTTAACAAGTTTACTGGTTGTAGTTAAGAGTTTTTTTTTTTTTGATGAAGTGTTCATATAGAAATGAGTGAAGTAGAGTATAATACAGTTATCATTTTGAGAACATACTTCTGTAGTAGCTCTATGTAAATTTTTTTAAGAGCAAAAACTTTCAATATGAAAGATCAAGTTTCCTCACCCTATTAAGAGAATATTTGTTGAGATTTTGTATAGAATAAGAAATTTATACACTATATATCCAATTTACAGTTAAGTCGACACTTCGGCAATATCAGGGTGTTGCCATTTTGACCTTTGTTCACGATTACTACAATTCCCTGAATCCAGGGTTGTATGGGAGGAAAAATCAAGCATGCAGTTAAGTGATGATTTTGATAAATACATGTGTGTGACACACACTGGTTTCTGATGTTTTTCATGCTCTTTTGTTTATTATTGGTCCAGATGACATTCATTAATAGCTTGGCTGGTCCCAATTAGAATGCTAACAAATATGTGACAAATTATGTAAAAATATTTAAAATATTAAAATTTAGATTTGTGACTTCGATTGCTGACTTATATTTGCATTTAAAAATAAGTTGGCCTTTTATAACCTGAATCAATTGTCTATTTGTGTAATAATGGAAAAATAGTATAATGCATAATAGTTTCTTAATGAATGAGTTAAAATCATCTTTCAGTAATTTTTTTATGTTGGAATTAAATTTCACAAAGTTCTTTGAGTGTTGTGATTGCTCTTTAAGAAAAATCAAGCAAATGATACCATTTATATTTCCAGACTTCAGTTTGTGTTTACCATTTAGAATAACATTTTAAATATATTGACTACTTAAATCCTTAAAATGTATTAATTTGGCTGTGTGTGTGTATTAAAGAAGATGTATCTAGAGAGAAGGAAGATGGCATATTTGAGACATTTGGCACTTTGCTACATCTGTGAATCTACACCAGCATCAGGTGCATGGCTGCATGGAGTGGTGAGCGGCATGGAAAGTCAGGATGCTGCAGTAGACAGAGATGAGGCAAAAGCAGAAATACAGAAGTTTAGATTTGTAGAAGAAACTGGATCCTAAGGTAGTATGCCAGTGGAGCTTTAAATCAAAAACAAAGGAGTGCATTACTGAGCTCTACAGACTGAAGTGGCATTTTTCAAAACTGTAGTGTAACATGGATCTCTGCCATTTGAAGTCACCATCTGCACAGGAGCAGACAGGGGAGAAGATCCCTACCTCCTTCTTGGTTTGTACTCTGGTGCTATGGGGTCATCTTAGAATTATATGGTAAAATCTTTTGACCAAGAAGAGAAGAAAACTCTGCATTTTTTATCTTCAAGTATCAAAGGCCTTCTGGTTGAGTGACTGACCATTCTGAGAGTTACTTAACTCAGAAGCTGGCTGTAACTTGGACATTGGTTCATGAACCATTAGTACAGTACCATTTGCTGGCCATGCTTTGAGGAAAGTAGAAGGTGGTCATATTAGGAGAGGCAGCATGACTTTGAGAAGAGAGAGATTCCCCACGCGTGTATATGAGCTGGGAATGAGGGAAACTGGTGTGTCTAGGGTAGCTGTTTTCAACCTGTGGATCATGACCTCTTTGGAGGGGGCGGTCAAATTACCCTTTCACAGGTGTCACCTAAGACCAAAGGAAAATACAGATACTTAACATTATGATTCATAACCATAGCAAAATTACAGTTATGAAGTAGCAATAAAAATAACTGTATGGTTGGGGGAACACACAAGGAATTATATTAAAGGGTCACAACATTAGGAAAGTTGAGGACCATTGTTCTAGGGTATAGAGGATCTCTGGTTTTCTGTTGTCACTGCAGTCTTAATTCTTGAAACTTATTTTTTTGATAAAATAATTTAAACCCAGTGGGAACCCAGAGACAATTTATTAGAATTAGAGAGAGAAAACAGTGGAGCAGGTAAGCTGGAGATCTTGACAGCTGATGGAGGAGGGAAATGGAAAGGGGAGAAAGATAGAAAGTTATATTTATTCATTCACAAGGTAAAGTCAGCTTTATCCCAGAAATGTGGATAACTCAACATATGTAAATCATTAAGTATGGTTCACTACATAAGTAGACTCAATGATAGGAATCACATGGTCATGTCATTACATGAAGAGAAGCCTTTGACAAAATCCAAAAGTTCCTTTATGATTCATGTCTTGAAGAATCTAGGATACAGGAGACAACTCAAAAACTACCTACTAGACAACAGAGAATAACAAACCCAGTGTAAGGAATGGGTTTTGAAGTTGTTGGTCAGGGAGGTTTCAGAGATCTCCAAACATTACATGCTCTTGGTTGCCAGAATTTGATGATGAGCCCATACACCTGAATCATAGAAGATGGAGAAATCAAACTGGTACTGACCTGGAAGTTCTACCCCTACTGGCCAGCTTTCATAGTGCCGGAGATGTGTGCATACTACCGGAGAAGAAAAGTAACCATAGTTTCATCTGGCTGTGAACTGTGTGAGCTACAGTAATACTAGATTGGTGGAGTTGTGATTTGAACATCAATGGAATAACTAAACACTTTCTGATTGATTTAAACCCCATCGCACATGAGGAAACTCATACCTAGCAATGTTATCGAGGCCAAGAATCTTAGCCAGAAAAACCCTAGAGGAGAACCTACTCCTATTATCATTTTAATGTGCATATTATTAAACTTAGTCCTAAAAACTTGCCATTATACCCACAGGTTAGTGTAGCTCTTAAATGTTATCAGGAAAACTGCTTTTTCCAGTAGACCATGATTAACACAGAGAACCACAACCGGTCAAGGTGCAGAAGATAAGGGGTTGCAGAATGCTCACCCCTAAATAACATATTGGTATCCCATACCCTCCTCCCAAGGCTTGGGGTTCATTGCAGAAGAGGGGACAGAAAGATTCTAAGAGCCAGAGATGGTGGATGACAGTGTTTTCTAGATTTAACACAAACTTGCAGTGCTTGTGACAGAAGCTGAAGCCAAAGCATAGACAGGGAAGATGGGGATGAACTGGAACCCCTAACTGAAGAGCTCTTAGCAAACTGGGAGCTTCTAGGAGATGGAAATTTAATTTTCTTTTGTAGCCATTTTTTCAGGTCAACCACACTCCAGTGCATTCAAGAATGTATGGGCAGCATAAATTAGACTCAGTGCTTTTTTTTAAAAAAAATGAGAGTGTTAAGTGAGTAATGAAGAGGGGTGGATCTTGGAGGAGTTGAAAGGAAGGTTAATATGAAAATACATTGTATAAAATTATTAAAGAACTGATAAAACATGAGGAAGAGACTAGGTAAGCAGCACCGGTGAGGGGAAGTGGAGATAGGATGACCCTCTGGCTTGCTGGCTAGCAGAATTGGTATGCTTTGGGTCCTGTGAGACTCCCCTCTAAAAAATTTAGATAAAACATGGGACATGATTGAAAAAAACACCCAACATTAATTTCTGACCTTAACGCATGAATTTGCACATTACCTCCTTTCCCCCAGTTTACTCTTCTTTTGGGGTGATATGGGCCTTGGGCATTAAAAAAGCATTCTACCTTTTCAGGCCAATCAAGGAGAATACATTTAGCTTTAATATTTGGGTTAGCCTTGTAGTTGGATGAAGATTCCTGTGTATGACCTAGAATTCAGTATTCCACACTCTGCCCCTTCTTCTCTGTTCACACATTCTTTTAATCTCTTATTTTGCAGTGTTCTCCAAGCCTTGGAGTGACTGTTAAGATGTCCCATTTGTGGTTGAGCATTAAACCATCACTTACCATCAGCACTTTGATCAGTTAAGAGTCTCTGCACTTACTGTCACCTACTTGAAAAGGACGATCCTCTGACCAAGGTCACATCACACTAATCTGTGGGCATAAGGAAGGTCACATGATAGTTGTAGCATGTCCACTTAGGAAAACAACAGCTATACTTTCCCACTAAGGGCCTATGAATGTTGTAAAAGGGGAACACGCTGCTTTTCGTCCCACCCAGCCACCCAGCTAGCTTTACCTGAAATAATTACACAGAAACTGTATTCATTTAAACACTGCTTGGCCCATTAGCTCTAGCCTCTTACTGGCTAACTCTCACATCTTGATTAACCCATTTCTATTAATGTGTATCGCCACTTGACTGTAGCTTACTGGCGTGAGTCTAACCACTGTCTGTCTTGGGTAGGAAAAGCATGGCATCTGCCTGACTCTGCTTTCTTTCTCCCAGCATTCTGTTTGGTCTACTTCGCCTATCTATGTTCTGACCTATCAGGCCAAGCAGTTTCTTTATTTGACCAATGAAAGTAACACACAGAAGACCCACCTACATCATATGAACTCTCCAGCCATAGACTTTTGAGCAGTACCAGACATGAATTCCCTTCTGTGGAGTAGACCTCAATTCCAGTTAGAAGATGGTTGGTTCTTCCCATTATAAATTTGTCACAGATTTGTGTTTATGGGCTCATTTGGTCTGGCTGGTCAGTATCATAGCATGCAACACCTAAGACAGTTCTCCCTTGGCAGTCTGCCAAATACTTTCTGGCACCATGAGGGTTGGCTATCAGGAGGAAGCTTCCAACCTAGTTCCAACTTGATTTCTCTACGTTCTGTGGCGAGAACATCTGGTAACTTTGGTAACTGGACCTTACCGTCCAGTTCTTCTGGGCAACCAACAGCAGTAGCAATCATTGTCTGTATTGTTTGGAGAATCTTAGAGGCCTTGCTGACCAATAACTCATAGGAAGGTAGCTCATCCTGGCACTGGAATTTTCATTAAAAACCTATGGCAGCTTTATACTCACACACAAGGCACCTTTGTTTTTTTGTTTGTTTTGTTTTTATTTTGGTTTGGTTTAGTTTTTAAATTAGTTTTTCTATAATATGGTTTTCTTACCATTTTAAATATATCATTAATTTTGGTTGATCTTATTCCATTCCTTTCCCCCCCCCATCCTCATCCTTCTGCCCCAATTTCCTTGCTCTTATTTTTTTTTATTCTGCATTTGAATACTAGTTAGTTTTTAAACTGTTGCTGTTTGTGCTGTCTGCTGTGTTTGTTTAAAAGTTAGAAGCACAAGGAATATGCAGCTTCTCCTAAAGTCTGTAACTTTAATAATCAGTCAAAAGGTAATGAACTTATTTAAATGTCAGACAAAGAATTAAACATTTTAAAAAATGAGTGGTATCTGAAGGGGGTCCTAATGAAGAAAGGAAGTTAGTGCAAGACATGGATGAGAAATCCAGCAGACACAGATATTATCAAAAATATATAAGTTAATAAAAAGAGCAATAACAATAATAACAAAACATAATTCTTAAAAGTGAATTTCTCTACAAATCAACTGAAACTTCTAGCAGAGGGCTGGTGAGGTGGCTCAGCAGAAAAAGGTACTGAGTTCTATTCCTAGAACCCACATGTGGAGGGGAGAACTGACTTCTATAAATTTTCCTCTGAACTCTATACCCATGCTCTGGCATGTATGTGTGTACAAACCCCCTACCAATCCCAAAATAGATGTTAAAAAACGTAAATGTTTCAGTGAAAAATATTACCAATTAATTAGACCAAGTAAAGAATATTAAACACATTCTTTTAGCAATAAAGAACAGCAAGAACAAAAACCCAGCAACCATGAATACAACTCACGAATTCTGGGACATGACTAAGACATGAAACCTAAGAATCAATGGGTAAAATGGGGAGTTAAAACATAAACTGAAGGCTT